AGATAATAAATATGTAAAATTATACATATAACATGAACCTTGGTGACAAAAGTTCCTTTAGGAGCCAAAAGCTCCGTAGCAAGCTTAACCGAGTCAATCACTAGAGCATTCTAATTGGTAGCCTCCCTAGCCCACGCACCACCAACATTAGGCTAGCCGTCGTACAGCACCATGTGGAAAGCTTTGCATCCATTCTCTACCATGAATTTCTTAACCAACGCTCTACACTATCCTGGGTGATATCATCTTGTACGGAGATGGCGTCGCAGATTGGTCGAATCGGGTCGAGGTCGACGTTGATTGCTAAACTCCCGACGGGCATCTTCTCGACGGCCGAACGGAGAAAACCGAACATTGAATCAAGTTGAACCAGCTTCCATGCGGCTCGAGATCCGTGGCCATGCTCGTTTGCTAAGTGGTAGTACTTATCTAAACGACATTTTCCCCTTACCTTCCCCATTGGTGTGAAATTGGAAATCAAAACGATTATATACTAAGTGAAATTGAGCAAAAAAGGTGTTAATGGCCATCAAAAGAAACCGTATTTCAACTTTGGCCTTTGACCAATAAATAGTATTAAAAAAATCCAAAACATCATTTTAAAAAACTAAAAGGCAAAAATACCCCTCACTCTCACACTCACTTTGAAAGGCCGAAAAACAGTCAAAAAAAGAAAAAATGAAGAACACTACAGCTAGAGAAACCGAACACCACACCGACGGTTCCGACCACCACACCGACGTTACCGAGATCGGCGCTGACAAACACAGTATAATATTGGGATCTAAAAACTACTAGCCAACAATAGACATGACATCATTCAATCATTCATTGCATCCGCATTACAAGGTTGAGTACACTAGTTATTGAGGCTAAATTGAGTGCAAAACATATTATGCAAAATGCATTATAGTATACCATAACGAACTTTAAAATCCAACAAGGCATTGAGTTACCAATACATTATGGAATCAACACTTGTTATCTTGAAACCATTCAGGGAACCAAAATTGTACTAAAAGAACATTGAAAAGAAATTCACACAAAGATCTTCCTAGGCACCCAAAATTTATTAGTGGAAAATGACTCTGAACCCTAAAGTATAAGCAATTACGTACACAAAATGCA